GCTGCCTCTGAACTTCAAGATCTTTTGAAACGAATTTTTTTGTGGCTATCTGTCGATGAAACCTTTCCTTACGTTGTAGCAAGAATCGAAAAATTTTGGGCTGAGAATCGTCCCTCCCAGTTCTGGCCCTGGCTGGGACACTTATCATCCTTCGGACCCAGATTCCTGTCTTGATGATAAACAGACGGTCTAATGACACGATCAGCAAACATGGCTGTGATCGGACAAAGTGAATGTGGATTTCTCGTTGATCACAGGAAAAGTATTTCTGAATCAGTTTCATGGTTGTCACTGTCATGTAAAGAGGCTTTCTTTGCTCTTTACGAGCCGTATTTTCGATCTTCAACAAACTGCAGTTCATCGGGATCAAAAAGGAGAAAGGTACATGCAAGCTTTGATATCAGGGAAACGGTGAAAGCAGTCTGAGCGAACTACAGTTTTTAAAATCAAGCATTGTATGACGACGAAAACTCTGTAAAATTTGTATTTGGGGTTGAAGAGTCACTCACCAGGAAAAAAAATCAATGTAAATGTGACCCTTTCGTCTCAGAAGTTTGCACGTTACAGCGGTTGTATTCGACTCCCTCCTGTTTCATTGATTCATTTTGATCCATTGATTTATCAATTGCAACCCTCGACAATGACTTGTCCTGAATCACCTTTGTAGCGCAAGAAACCTGCTCAAGTTGTTCGAACAGAGGAAGAATTAGATGCTGCTGCACACCATGACAAGGTAAACAAGACAAATTTCCAGCCATCAACATGCCATGTTCTTTTTTGGAGTAAAAAAGGAAATACTTTACATACTCTACACGGGAATGGGAACTTACCCCGCAAGTATGATATGGTTCAGACTCTGCATATTTTTCTTGAAATGTCAATTATCAGTCTGAGGATTTCCTTTAAAAAGGAGTTGATAGTATGAAAACTTAATAAGATGTGAATCACTTATCTTTCTTCACTTTGAAAGAGTCTTTGAAAGAGTCTTTGAGGCAGCAAAGAGCCAAAACCAAAGAAATGGTAGAGAGTGTCAAGATGATAGTTATCAATAAAGGGGTTGTTGGCATTCAGAGGTAAAATGGCCCTTAACTACTGATTGCTGCTGCATGAACTGAATAGGAGTTTTGCTACCCCCCCCCACCAATGAGATGCCAGTCCATCTCAGGTTACCCCCAGCCTTTTCATTAGGTTTCCTGAAGATAAACTGGTACTCATTTATAATCAGGGATGGAGAGGGACAGTACCAATTTATATTCCTTGGTGGAGAGAGGTACAACACAAGGACCCAATCAGGGTTTAACCTAGACGCCCTCAATATACCAATCATAAGCTCTTACATTACCCATGAAAAGTACTCTGGCACAGAAAAGTTTCCAAAAAAGATTTTACACCAGAGGCTTTTCTTTAATTTTTGATTAATTTAGATAAAAGACACAATTGCCACAGGAACAAAGAAGCTTGTGCAGGTTGGAGTGGATATCGGCTATTTTCTGCCTGAAAATGATCATAATGAACAAAACATTTTAATGTCAGGTAACTGTATTACAATGGAGTGAGTTCACTTAATGTCAACTAATCAGAGAAAATCTGCACCAGAATAATTGTGAGTCTCTTAAAAGCTTTAACCTTCAAGACCTCCTTGCTACTGTCAATACCAATTTTGACACATCAATCTATAATTACCAAGAGACATCGAGTGCCATGTATTAACTAACTTAATATCCTATAAGTATTAATTACATTTTATTTAAATACTTTCTCTTCGTTGACTTTTAAATGATCTTACTCAAATTCTGTGCAGTTCACTACTTTGACATATAACATCTGTGACTGATAAATATTATTTCAAACTTTACCAGTCAGATTAATTCAATTCTTGATGGAGACCTGTCCTCTTTACTCAAAAATGATCTTTATCTTGTTTTTTGACTTTTTTTTTAACGATGTTTTTGATTTCTTTTAAATACATAGCTTTACCTGAAGATGGGAAAAACTTTTCTGAATTGTCAGCTGAGGTACAAAGTTACAGCAGATGTCAATCCAGTGATTATTTGGAACCTTTAATCATTGAAGGTTATTCTTATAAATTATTTGTCACCTCTAACTGCTACACATTTCCCTGGAAATTAGTGACAAGAATTCAGTGTTAGATGAAGATAGCCACTAAGCTGATAAGATTGGATATTCTCATTACCTATTCATTGTATAACATGTAGATATTATACGGAGAAGTTATGTTGGCTGGTCACTTCTGGGAGGTAAACGGTTAAGCTAATCAGACTACACAGCCAGATAATTATCCTCTGGGAATACCTCCTTCCTTTTCATAAGCTCTCAAATGGACCAAAGGGAATGTTATTGACTTTGATTTTTGAAAATAAGTCAGACCATACAAGATTACAGTATGATGATAGTTTTGTAGAAATTACCTGTTGAGAAAACTGATACATATTAATTAACTTTGTCTTTCTGGTGTAAAGGTAATTTCACTGGAAGTGAAAAGTGTCTGTTGAACCGCATCATTTGTCACCCGTGTAACAAACCTACAGTGTTGAATTTGTCTGGAGAGAGATATATCTTACCTGCAGATTGCAACTTCTTGATGTCTGACGCAGAGAACTTAGGACCTCTTGTTAATTATGGTGGGTGTGACCATAATGTGTTAATGCCAGAAAACACTTTAATTCCCAAGAGTGATCAAGACAGACTTTCTCCTTACAATATCAATATAAATTCAGGCAGACAAGTGATGAGAATAAAGAAAAATATCACAACATTGAGTAGGGAATTAACTAATTGATCCAATATCAAGTTCTCCAATCTACAGCTGTAGCATCATAAAAACTGTTCGCAGACAGTATGGAGAATTACTGATAAGATCTTGGGAGCAAAAGGGTTAAAAGAATGCAGTGGTAACATCCCTTTCCCTTTCTTCAATATTTAAGTTATGGCCTAGCTCATTATTGAACTTCTGTTAAAGCAGAAAAGTTACAGATATATATTATTTGCATCCTCAACAGCCCAAGGCAGTGGTGGTTATAAGTTGTTGGTATTGGATCCCCCTTGGTTCAACAAGTCTGCAAAGCGTGGCTCAAAGTAAGAGGATTTCCATTTTTCTGTTTTCTGTCTGACCCTGACCAAAAAGCCTGTAGCTTGGTTTCTCTACAGGTTTCTTTATCACATGTTAAATTTTCAGTTACTCATTATAATATTAAATTATGTACCGTATATGTAATTCCTTTTATTTATACTGATGTATTATAATTCCAAAAATGCAAAATAAGCAATAAACAATACAACAAAGAATAACAAAAATAAGTACACCATTCCAGCTCAAGCCTGCTCCCTAAATTGGACAGAGTTTAGTTTAAGAATCATACCATTTGGCTGAATGGAAAGAAAGAGTCCCCTTGTCCTTCCAAACAGATCCGAACCCTATTTTACTGTAGGCCACTTCCCCTCTTTCCACAGCCTGGCCTTTATCAAGCTTGTATAACCTTTTATGGATTGGTATTTTACTTTGTAAATCTTCACATAATTTTATGTTTTTGTTTCAAGGTATTCCTTCATGTCCATGTGGCAAATAAAATCACTCCCAGTCCCTTGCCTACTTGCCCCTGGTGCTTTGGTGGGGATCTGGGTAACCAACAAACAGAAGTACTTAAGGTTTACAAGGTCTGAGCTCTTTCCTCATTGGTCTGTTGAACTAATGGCAGAGTGGTTCTGGGTAAAGGTAACAAAAAAAGGAGAGCTGGTGACTGATTTAGATTCGCCTCATAAAAAACCATATGAGCCACTGTTACTTGGACGTTTTATTCCAAAGATGGATGGTCTATGGACATCTTGTGACCTTCTAAATAAGGCAAAAAAGTCTTCTGAAAAGGAGATGGAATCAATCTTTGTTGACAGGGGATCTCTCAATGGTTCTTCACTCCCAACTAAAAGAAAAATGGTCAGTGATAATGATGATGTTATTGGGACAGAATACACTTGTGACATAAATAAAAATACAGCCACAGAGATGTCACTTGAGTGGAAACCACCATCAATATATTACAGCCAAGACCATGAATATAATGGAACAGGAGTTCAGAATCCAAGAAAACATTGGTTAAATTGTCAAGGAGTGTATAGTAAAGATAAAATGGACATCGCAAGTGAGGGCTTGAATAGTTCATCTGATGTTGTGCAGAAGGTTAGGGGGCAGAGGAAGGAAGGCAATGTTGGTATTTCTGAACATAGTTTGAACATCTCAAGTGTAGAATCAAAACCTAAAAAACCAGAACCAGAACCAAAACTTTGTGATTTGTTACCATATCATCAGATCATATGCAGTGTTCCTTGTAAGATTCATTCCAGGAAGCCTCCTTTGCATGGTGAGCTAAACTCTTCTCCAACTTACAAATTGTTAGCTGCACTAATCATCAGCAAATGGTACTTACCTCATGAAAGCTCATTCAGGGGTATAGCATGCATATTTTGTGGAATACACACTTGAGGGAAAGTAAATGTTAGCACTGAGCTGAATGGTATTTTAAATATTTACACAGTTTCTATTTCATCTTTTATATTATAAAATTGAGGCAACCTAATTAAGAGTTATTTGTGCAACCAGCAAAACTACTGCAATTATTGAATACACTTTTTGCCAGTCAAGTTAAAAAATATTTTATGCTTTTTAAACTTTTTTGAACCAAGCAAATAGGTATGTATTTACGTGGTCACTATACCCCTGTTTGGCCTCATTTTAGTTCAAGATGTCTTTGAGTTAGGGACAGTTGTAATGTAAATCTTTCAGAAATTGGGCCTTTCCTTATATTTTTACAAAGCCCACTATTTCAAAAGATTTCCTGAACAGTGACCACATACAGTCCATTGATTCTTACCTGTAATTTTTATAACCTTGTTTTTCATTTGTGCGTCTTTTTCTTTTTTTCATCAGAAATCTTTTCTAAATATGTGCCACCTAATTCATTATGTCTGGAGATGTTTGCTCGAAATCTAACTCCACACTGGACCAGCTGGGGAAATGAGGTTTTATCTAAGTTGTTTGATATTTTTGCTACAAATACAACCTCATTTTATAAGTACTTTATACTTTAAATGCCTTTTCCTGATTGACTTGACTAGAGAAAGTGTTCTTCCTCTGTTTAGATCTTGTTGAGTTGAACATCAAAATAACATTAAGTGTCCTGACTCAACAAAGAAACTCCTTTCCCCCATACAATCTACTTTCTTGTTGAGTATTTACATCTGTTATGATAGCCTTGCTTTTCTTCTTTGCACTTCAATTAAAAAAATTATTTCATTTTTTATCACCAGGTACTCAAGTTTCAGAGCATGGAATACTTTGAAGAGTCTACAACTGAACAAGTACCAAGGAAAATTCAAGAAGAAAATTAGTCTTCTTACTGATTGCTGTGTATAACTTTGTGGTCACTTTAAGCAGAATAGTTGAAAATGCATTGGGTCATAGATTTTTGTCATAAAATTAATTATTTCTGATTTCTGTATATCATTTTACGTCCAAGTTTCTGACAGTCATCTTTGGCATGTTTGCTCAAAAACTGTGAATTACTTTCTTTTAATTGTGAAATTCTTTATCTGAAGTGGAAACTTAAGGGCCATGAATGTCTCCGGAAATGTAAAGTAAAAACGTAACAACATCTGCATCCCATACAATTTAGCGCTTACTTCATAATGTTAAACTGGGGAAAAGCTAACACCTGCGTTATTAGTATAAGTTTTTAAACAACATTATTTTCATTACATGCCGCTTAAAATAACGTGGCAACGAGAAGAACTTATGTTTCAATCGGTTGAATTGGCGTTAGTATGATGTTAAAGGAAACAAAAGAAAATGACCTGTTTTCAATTCTACGTGTATAGAAAACAAACAGTTGCGTTGCGTTCTTCAAACTCAACAGGTCGTCCCATCATTAACGCAGATTGTCCCAACCCTTTTGACCGAGGGGCCAGAAAATAGAATGATAAAAGAATGTGAAGAATCCCCCAATTTCCTGATCTGAACTCACTGTATCTAAAGTAGAGAATAATTACAACCATACTTCATTGAACAACATCACGATTGAATACTGAAAGCAGAAATCATTTGCAAGAAGTTGTCTAAAACTGTTATTATTTCAGAAAAAAATTGCTTGTGCAATCAATAATTTCGTCTTAATAATTGGAAATGTACCTGCGTGGGTGGGAATTGTCAATTTGGTCCCTCCTCCACTGTAAGCTTTTATCTGTATTTTTTAACGTTTGACAGAGAAGTTCTGACCGCTGTGTAGCGGAGATCCATACTCACTGAAAATTCTGTTACGTAACCCGTGCAGTTATTTTACAATGGTTTCTGACGAACACTCATTCTTTCCTGTACTTTTTCATCATGAAAATCTGGAGTAAGTTAGAATGAATTCAGTACGTTCGTACTGATTTCTTTCTTTATGTTATAGATAGTTTTAACCATCTGGAATGAGTGAGAGCTGCAAGATGCTTTCCAATCTCTTAATTAAAGTTGTTGACAAGTACCATTAATTAATGTTTAAGTAATTAAAAACGGTTAGAGGGCGGTTTGCAACAGAGAGAAATATCAGTAGCAAGCAGGCAATACCAACACGTCTGTTGTACTTATCATCAAGATTTTGAAAACTTTACACTATGATTTACAATTTGTGATTCTTGAGGTGATCTGATTTGTTACAAAGCATCATAATCAAGTCATAAATGTATACAAGATGCATGCGGAGAAATCAATCTGGAAGATAAGTAATTCCCATTTTGGAAATTCTTGAACTTAGGGTTATCAGTAAAAGATTCTTGGCGTTCGGCCTGTACTTTTCCGAACTTTGTTTTCCTTCTTGATCTAAGTTTAGAATTGTTGTTTACCCAAAGCTCCTTTCACAAAGTACAAAACTAGGTGTGTAAGGAAGAAAGAAAATCTCCTTCACCAGAAAGATTACTCGCAAAACTGAAAACGATGGTGATTTTCAAAGGTTCTTTAGTCAGGTGTAAAGCCTGGACTAATCTGTGATAAGAAATCTCTATGGTTTGATAACGAAAAAAGAAGTCGGATATCAATTGCTGTTGACCTGGAATGCTTATTTATATGAACGTGTATTGCTGTAACGCACGTGTTTAACAAACTGAATCATTCTGGAGAGGCACTTAGTTCAACGTTTCATGGGCAACTAAAGACGGGTGTTTTAAGATGGGAAAGAAGTTTCCAGTATCAAGATGATGGCGGATATTGACATCTGACGATGCAGCACTTTGTAATCTAGGTTTCGTGTTAGTTTGTTTTCCTTTCAGTGATAGGGTTTAGAAATAAACTAGACATCTTACAGCTTCAACCGATTTCCGTGTTTATGGTCTCAATTAACAAACAAAACACTCGAGCTGTAGTACATCTCATATGCTTTCCGTTTTCCACTTGTAGAAATACGCTTGTTTATCATAAAACAAACATTTCTCTCCATGTCCAAATTTATAGCAACACATAAGTTTCTTGTGATCATATACCCAGCTGTTTGACATTTCCGTATGTTTGTTGTCTGACCTTCACACGGCTTCTTCAATCCGTATTTCTGATGCAAGTGAATCAACAGTGACACGTTCCAAATTCAAGGTGGATGACAAAACTCCATTGCTACCTACAGTTTCACAGCTCGAATTAGGAGCATATTGCTCAGAACCCACAACAAAATCAGAGCAAATTTCAGGTTCTTTTGAATCCATGTCTTTTAACACAGTGCTCAGAAACGTGATGTATTTCATAGCTAGTTTAAGAATCTCGTGCTTGGAGAGTTTTTTGTCAGGTGGATAAGTTGGAAGAAGTTTTCTCAGCTCACCAAAGGCCATATTGACATGATGCTGTCTCCATCTTTCTCGACTGTTTGTGAAATTTCTTCGACTTTGGAAAGGATTTTCGAAGCCAAAACTGACAGGTCTCCTTCTTATAGTTGTGCCAAAATATCCCAATGGAATAGACGCGCCATTGTAATAAGCTGAAATCACTGGTTTCCGAGCTCGTGTGCAGTTATGATGTGTTCCTTTCCTACAAGACATCGGTTATATTGCGTGATCTCCGAATATATCAAGATGATCCTCTGCGGAATTACTCGGGAACGTCGTTCACATGCGTTATTTACCGCCAATATCGACTTGCCAGTCAAAGCATATCGATACTTACGTGATTTAACGCCAACGTGGGACTATACTATATCTCGTGTACGAGAGATAAAACTTTTGTCAGAGTGAAACGATATGGTGACGAGTTTCCCCTGGTCTTGTTTACTAGAAATAGCAAGCCCTTGAGATAAGTTTCGCTATTTGTCAAAGCGATATCTGGTCTTGTTTTGATAAATATCGAAATATAGTCAGTATGAGCCAATCCGATGTCAAAACTACCGTCATATCAGTAAAATCTAAAACCTCCAGGTATCGCAGACTAAATTACAAACCTCCTTCTTCTGACGAGTTAACCAGCGAATGTCTTCTTTTTCATAACCTTGTGCGGAGGTAGCGCAAACGCGCGCAAGTCACAGATCTCCAGGTATTTGCATCTTTTCAAAAAGAAACTGTGGCAAAAGGAGCTTTCATAAAGTCAAAATGTCTGGGTTTTTTTCAGAGGGTGGGTCAAGGAATGAGTACAATGTTTAGTTTAGACTCATCTGTTGAACTTGAAGTGACTCATTATCAAGTTGCCTTTTTGTTGACTTAACCTTTTAAGTCTGGGAAAACAAAGCAATTATTTGAGTTTTACGACAACGCCTACCCACAGAGGCTCTTTAAACAAACTACTTTAAATATTTGAAGTACAAAATTAAATGGATTAACATACTTGAACCTCAGCCACGCAAACTCTATCCATTAACCGATACTAATTACCTAGTTTCACAAACTGCCGGTTGTGAAATGCTATCAGATAAAAGACTTGTAGTTATCTTAATGTCTTTTTATAATCCCGACTAATTAGAGGGAAGCTTGCTTTTCGCTTATGAAAGCTATGTAGCGAAGCTTATTGACCGCTAAAGGAGTCCATAACTGGACGGATTCACCGGAGCAGGGTACACGCATGTTCCGGAAATTTTTTTTCAGTCGCGAAAGTTAATTTTCAGTCGTTTAAGTTAATTGTACTTTAAGAAAGTTAACGTAATGGTTTTAGGGGAATTCCTGGAGTGCAGAAAGCCAATTTTCTTTAATGGTTTGTATTTCTACGAATTAACTATAAATCACCCTGGTATAATTCCGGGTATAAAAGGGATATGAGATAAAGACGCCATTTAACACTACTTTGCTAAGATGTTAAACTTTCACCTTAACTAAGTAGTTTTTTTAACTGTACTCTGGCTTGTACAGAGGCTATTTGAAGATTTCGTGCTCTCTTAAGAAGAAACTCACCATGAAATGTAATGAAATCTAATCAATCCAATTCACGACTTAGAGAAAACAGGACATTCGTCAGAACCCAACAGGAGATCGGAGACAGACAGCCTGAATACACCGTTAAGAGCTACATTGATTGAGGCTCAAAGTAATCAAAAACATTTAATTAAGCCTGTTATTACGTTTCAAATCTTAAATTTAAGAATCCTGAAAAGAAACATTGTCGACTGATCTCGATCGGAAAAGCTAAAACTGATCTAAGATCAAGTCACAATCCACAGCTTATATCCTAGATATGTATGTCACGTCACTTGTTAACTAGAAAGTTCGGTTATGTCAAGATGACATTAAAGTACTGCAGATCCTGAACTAGTTTGTACTAATACATCTGTCATGATTGTATATAACCACTGTATGGCTTCATACCAAGACAATTGTAAGATAGTATGTAGGAGACAATTATCTTATTCAGTCTCTATTTGTCATTGTCCACTTGTTGACAGAACATGACCGCAAGTGTATTCTGTTCTACGCGTGTAGTTAGAAAAAGGGCATTCGTTTGCGCAGGTCAAATAAGGCAGGTCAAGATTTTTATACAATTCTTGCTACCATCGTTCATAGCTTATAAAGAGAAACCCCAGAACTGGCCAAGCCATAGCCGGCGTAGTTTTGAACCTGAGTTATAGAAAATTATAGTTATGAAGGGCATACAATCAACACAGCTTTGCTGGCTTTAAGTGGAGTTGTTATTAGCTGATGCAGTGACTGTCTCAGTTTCAGTATAATAAGAAGACCCCAACAGAATCATTAACCCTGGTTTAGATCTGTTGATTTTGTCTCAGTGTCAACGTAAGTCTACTCAGTCTCTTGCAATGAAGAAACAGTTCATGAAACAGACAGCTCTTGGTATGTTTACCACATTTTGCTTTTAAAAGTGAATAGGTAAGGAAAGTCATAATGTATTAATCAAGAACAATTTGATTGGTGAGACGGGCACAGTGATAAAATAATTCACAATTTTCTTTAATTGGTTCAGTATTGTGGTTTCTTAAAGAGCTCCTAAACCTCTGACATATCATCTAAAACTTAATTCCACTGTCCAGCAAAGAAAGCAGCGTTATTCGATGGAATTTTACTTGATTGGATTTATTTTCTTGTAGCCGGCTGACTTCTTTCAATAGATAGGTAATCCTGGAGATTCCAGTTGGAAAGAAATGTCACTTGAAGTGATTCTTATCTCAAGAAAATGACGGAAACGATTTTACGCAATGACGGTTAATTACTTACATGTAAAGAAACAGATTAACGTTTGTGGTGACTTTGTATTTGCCGACTGAATTATCTGCCCTTTGACAACAACTGATGTCAAGTTCCCATACACGACACAAGATGCGTTGGGTAACATCCCCGACAAGTTATTCTTTTTGCCTTACACTATTTGCCAATTCCAACTCTGTTTAGGGACAACATAACTCATTAACTCCTAAGAACTGATTGGTTATTCTCTCCTCTGGCTACCATACATATCCTTGTAAATTAGCTACGAGAATTTGAGGTTAGATCAAGATAACAACTTATTGATAAGTTTGAATATTCTCATCAACTGATCGTTGGATAATGAGTAAATATTTTAGGAAGAAGTTACATGTTCATCACTTCTGGGAGTTAAAGTGTTAAAAGAAGGGCTTGGTACGGGCTTGGTACTAATCAAAA